AAATTATTAATCTCAAAGTACCAGAGGGCTGAAAAGTGCAAAAAAAATTGTTTTGGTTTGTTTTTTTCATTTAGAGAACCATGCATATTATATGTTTGTTATGAAGAGGAAAGTGTTGAACCCCACAGAGAAAAAATATTAATATAATTTAAAATTGTCCTTACAACTGTATCTGTCATCTCATATTCATGGCACAAGTGACAGAAATAGCTTTTTGTAGGTCCAAGTCAGCTGCTAAACCCACACAGGGAAAATGTTTCCTTTAATAAGGAAAAATATTTGTGTAACAAGGTCATCAGGAAGAAGTTTCAGATGTAACTCACAGCAGTCATAGGCAAGTTGGAGGAGAGAGGTTTCTTGCCAAGAGCAACTATTCTTTACCGCCAAGCCGGCAAATACCCTATGTTCCTTGGCATCTCTTGGGTGTGGGAAACTAGTCATGGAAGGGTCACAAGAAATCAAATGGCAGGCATAGCTTTTGTACAGGGCACAGCTCAGAGCTGCTGGACTTGTAAGTCCCTTTCCCTCTTCCACAAGAGTCTTCAGCAGTGGTTTTCATGGTTCCCTTTAAGGTAAAGGCCTTCTAGCTCACATGTTTGAATTGAGTTACAGAACCAAGTGAAGTTCTGTGATCATCTTCACTTATCCCCTGGAAGCCTTTTTATGTCCCCCAGACTCCCGTACTGCTAAGGATTCTTGCAGGGCAGGAGCTGGATGCCCTCTGAGCCTTCTGTGTGTGGTAAAAGGAGAGGGATTATCAGGCATCAGAATGTCCCACGGCTTTAAAATTCACTGAGCACTATCAAAGGAAGAGAGGATAAAAAGATAGGACTCCTGGTCTGGGTGGGAGACAAAAGAGGAAGCAAAATAAAATTGTCAGAATAGCCAACCTCCCTGTGCTAGTGTCTTAAGAGTTTTTTTGAAGAATGTGATTTACAAGTGTTTGCAGGAGAATGCCTGGCTTCACATCTGCTCAGGAAGCTGGAGTAACGGATTGCTAAATAAGGTTTGGGAGGTGAAATAGAAGGCTTCTACCCTTACCTCGCCAAGCTGAGCTCAAAACTGTAAAGCCATAGCACTAAATAATAAATGTGCAGCTTTCTGGAGAAAGTCTAATTGAGGAAATTACAGACCGTCATGTTAGGAGTCTTACTGCAAATTTTGCAACTCTCAGGCTACCCGAGTCATTGCAATTATACCTAGTAAGGAAGCCTTTTCTTCTTTCCTCTATGGGAATGGTGTTTTGTTGAAGCTTAAGATACAGGTGAAATTCAGTCCTGCACCTTAGGCACCTATCTGTTTGATGCTTTAGTGAGGCAGTCTTCCTGAAGTAAGCGCCTAAGGTCTATATCTGGCCAGTGGAGAGAGGAAGGTCCTATAGAAGATCTCCAGAGGGATATATCATCTGCCTCCGCAGTTAGTGGACAAGTTTTTCCTATTGGGAATTTCAAAAGCACTTTATTTTCTCTACTGAGGAGAACTGCTTCCTTCACTGCTGGTGCTCAGGCACCAGTTCAGGGCTTAAGCTAGTTGGGCAACAGCCTGACTATACCTATTACAATAAAATGGCCAACTTGAGGAGCCTGTTTATCTCCATCTTTTCCAATTTGAGAAAACCTTGATAATCAGCCCTGCTTTGTCCTTGTAAACTGAGCAATTTACTGTCCTGACAATTATCAGTGCCAATAGATGTACCAGGTCTGGCTGGGATAGAGTTAATTTTCTTCATAGCAGCCCAGATGGTGCTGTGTTTTGGATTTGTGACCAAAACAGTGTTGATAACACATCAATGTTTTAGCTGTTGCTGAACAGTGTTTGCACAGCGCCAAGGATTTCTCTGTTTCTCATGCTGCCCTGTCAGCAAGCAGGATGGGGGTGCACAAGAAGCTGGGGGACCAACTGACCAAAGGGATAGTCCGCACCGTATGACATTGTACTCAGCAATAAAAGCTGGGGAAGAAGGAGGAAGGAGGGAGGTTCAGAGTTGTAGCATCTCTCTTCCGAAGTAATCATTAGATGTGACGGAGCCCCGCTTTCCTGGAAATGGCTGAACACCTGCCTGCCGATGGGAGGCAGTGAATGAATTCCTTATATTGCTCTACTTGTGCACACAGCTTTGCTTTATCTATTAAACTGTCTTTATCTCAACCCACGAGTTTTGTCACTTTCACCTTTCTGATTCTCTTCCCAATCCCACTGGGCAGGAGTGAGTGAGCAGCTGTGTGGGGCCGAGCTGCCCACCAGGGTTATCCCACAACAGTGGAGAATTACTCCAAGTATTTGTTACCTTTAAGAAGGAATTATTAGAGAAAAAAATAAATAAAGAAGTTTGTAACAAGATGTACTGAATAATTTTTTTATCTGACTAGTAAGGTTTGTTACTTTTTTTAAAAATTATTTTTTGTAGTTTTTTAGGGCACACAACTGAGGCAAGAACAGTAATCCATCCTCTACCTGGACAGTTCAAATTTACCAAGCAAATTTGGCACGAGAACCATTTACTCCATTCTAACTGGGATTCTGAAACACTTCCTATTGTTTTTTTCAAAGTTGTGTCCCATCTCTTCTCTCACGGACTTTCCACTATGGAATCACAGAAGATAGAGCTGGAAAAGACTTATTACATCATCTGTTCTACCTTTCTGAGTTCACAAAATGAACGTGATGTCACTATCCCCTTTGACTCATTCTTTGACTTAATCCTGAAAATTATCTTAAAATGACAGGATTTCTCCATGCTCCGTCTAATCTACTTTACAAAAAATACTCCAACCCCCTTGAAGGATATTAACAGCAAAAATAATAATTAAAGCAGCTGAAGGGACATTCTACATTTTAAAGCAATAATTGCTCTAATTTAGATTTAATATGCAAAAGCTGTTCAAGTATATAGTGGTATTGCATTCTAAGGAGTGGGGGCACTCCAAGGGTCACAACGCTCATGAAAGCTTCAAAATAGAGTATAGTTGTCAAATAAGACTTCTTGAGCTATAGCATGCTTAAAAAATAAAATCAGTTGTCTTTAACTTTTAGAAATTAGTCTGATACTTTTATGGCTATTCATGTTCCAGTATGCAAGGCAAAAGCCACCACTAGGTGTACAGGCACAATGATGGGCTTTATTTCCATTCAGTAGTCATAGTGGATATTTCTATGAAAACATCATCTCAGGGGCTGTTAAAAAACAAGGAGAGTGCTAGGAATTAATAACGAGAAACCAAGAGCAAACACAAAACATGGTGCCCCCATGTCTTGACTACTGCAACAGATCTAGTCACTCATCTCGAACAGGAGATAGTAGAATAGGAAAGGTATATAGAGAGACACAAGGCAGGTGGATAGATAGAAGAAAGAAAAGTCTGGGTCAGTTTCTATCACAGAGATTAAAATAGAGAAGATGATGGAAGAACAGACAGCTGAAGGGGGATATGAGAGAGCTCTATAAAATCTCGATCATCCTGAGAACAATTATTCACTGTTCTTCACAATCATAAGAACAAGGAGGCATCAAATGAAGTTAACATCTAGTAGGTTAAAACAAATAAAAGGGAGCAATAGTTCGCAGAGTGCACAGGTCCATTGTAGAATTTATTGCTGCAAGAAACTCTGGATGCCAAAAGTTTAGATGAGTTTGACAAGTCACTTCAGAAAATAGCTTGACAAATTAATGAAAGAAAATTCCATCAAGGGCTGTAAAAGAGATAGAAATAACCTCTGGGGCAGGAAGTCCCTAAGTTGCAGATTGCCAGCAGTTGTGAGGAGTTTTGCTGAGGAGATGCATGCCATACAGAATCACCACTTGTTTTATCCTTTCCTTGTGGCATCCGCTACAGGTCACTTCCTGAAATAGGATACTGAGCTAAATGAACCTCTGGTCTGTAACAGTATAGCTAATTTTATGTTGTGCCCTTGTCAGAAAGCAGAGATAACAGTTGCAAAACATTCTCCCTTTTGTTCCCATTTAATAAACTTCCACCTCTTTGCTGTATGGATTGAACACATTGCAAAGTAACTTCATAAAAGCACAAGCTCTCGCTCATCCTTGCTCCAAATACCCTCTGCCTCCAGGTGAAATTGGAAGTAACAGCCAAGGCAGGTCCACCCTGGTACTGCCTCCAGGATGTGGCATCTTGGAAAAAGCTGTCCCATTTGATGCCTAGTGCATACATGCTGGTATGTATTTTAAAATACACTGGGGGAAAATAGCCTCAAGTTTTAGATTGGGGCCAGATGGCTGATTCAAGTGAAAATAACACAGATACACAGAGGAATGGTCACTCCAAAAAAGACTGAAGTGTGTATGTAACACGGTGCACAGGCTCCAAACAGTACTGCTTGTCAATTACTTTATATTTCAATACTGTGTCCTTGAAAATAAGAAATAAAGATGTGAGAATTTAAAGCTATTTCTGAAACGGGCTTTAATTCTTTGACTTTCCAGGTGAACTCTTTGTTCAGGAAGAGACAAGCAGCCACAATTTTTGAGCCTTTTTTCCACTAAAATTACACCACACCATTTAAAAGATAAAGTGGAATTTAAGGCTTTACAGATTTATGGGATGTATATTATTCAACAAAGTATTAAAACAGGTCACCATATATTCACATTTATGACCATCTCCCTTTTACCCTCCTGAATGTAAAGAACTGCAATATCAAACGTATAAGCAGAAAAAAACCCACGTTTTGAATGCAAATTTTAAAATGTTCAGTATCAAGTCTCTCATTCCCACATACTAGTTTTACAACTGAGATTTCCTCATTTAGTTGTGGTTTAAGTAGGGTAAATATAGCTTGAATTTACTATTCTCTCCTCTTCCCCCTCTCAAGATGTCCAACCAAACCAGGGAATTGTTTAATCAAATTTTAAGTGAAATGTTAAATTTTGCCTCTTGGCAGCAATTCTCTCCCAGAAGTTTGCACGTTCCCAGTGCTTGGCACTTCCCATTCTCATCATTTACCTGTGGTGGATATGGAACCAAATATACTACAGGACATACCATGAACAGCTGCAGCAACAGCACCAACAAAAGCAACATGTGTTGTTGGGCCTTTGGTTTCCAGGTGCTTGAGACACAGCTGATGTTCCTTCATTTTGTGACTGCTGCCTCTTTCTCATTTCAGCTACTTCAGTGCCCAAGTGGCTATAAGAACACAGACATAAGAGATGTACAGAATTACTACAGACTGTCATAAAGTACATTCACATTTCTACAGCAATCTCTGATTCTACTGATTCTCACAGCTCGTGGCAACAAAAGCACGTGGCCATCAGCTGTGCTGGCCAAGTAAGAGTTCTATTGTGTTTAAAGCAGTTTCCAGAGACCACATTCTAATGACACGCTTACGCTACCGTGCTGTTGAATCACATCTATTCTTATTGCTTTGTCTGGACTAAAAGGACTGTTTATTACCCTTTTGAACAGCAAGCTACACAGCTTGTGTAGCACTTGGTAGAGACTGAGTTGTTCCTTACCATATGACTATCACAGCTCTTTCCATTGTACTAAAAATACAGCAGGATGGTTATTCACTTTAAACATGAGCTGGAAACTGATCTTTTTTACTTTTTGATTTCTCTGGTCAATGCTGGACCAATGAAATTGATATAAGTGATACTATATCATGGGCACTAATAGCTGTCTGTTAAAAGCCAAGGTTATTATAAGTGTCGTAACTGGGAGGTTTGCAACTTAAGAGTTATTCTCTGCAAATAAAGTGAATAATAAATATGTAATTCCAAAATACTTTTCCAACTTTGGGACTATTTTCTGGTCACAGAAGGTTTTCTCTTGCTCATTGCCAGTCCTCCCTAGGTTTTATTAGGCCAAGATATTTTTTCTTTCCAGTGACTTGCAATATGCAGCTGGAAGTAATATTCCATGCATTACTTAGTTTTCAAAAGAAGTTAAAACACTTCTTGCTAAGTTATGTTATTTAGGAAGGCTTAGATGTCAGGTTCCTTCTAATGTACAACATTTCTTCTTTGTACAACAGCTATAAGTTTCCTGAGTAATGGCTATTACAAGCATATATAAATTAGAATAAAATTAGTCCTTTTGCCTTTGAAAAAGCACAAACAGATCACTTTGGGGAGGAGCCCAGTTTACAACAGAAGTGGGTAGAAGATGGCCTGGTGTGAGCAGCGTGCGCTGTGCTCCACAGCCCCAGGGCATCCTGCTGCAGCCAGGAGTGCTGGGGAAAGGCAGGCTCTGGCCGATTTGCCACCTGGATACATCACGCACAGACAACCAAGAGATGTGCTACCCCATCTACATACATTCAAGCAGCAGCTGTGAGAGTTTGCATTTACATGGCTGCTAAAACTCCTGAGGTTCTTCTTCTGTAAGTGTGTCCTGATAGACAGTTTACACACACCACCACGTAGCAAGGTTACTAAGCTTCATACTTGAACTCATGCTGCAAAACTCAAGGTTGGTAGTTATTTCAGCTTCTTGCATAGCTAACTTTTCCATACACACTGCCACTGGGTAGAATCAAGTAATTTCTGAAGGGTGGTCAAATTAAACAACGAAGAAACATTTAACTACCTGTGCTGAGCACATCTGCTTATAGTATTAATTCTTACGGTTTATAGTTGCTGAACTCTGGAAGATTAAAACAACATAATAAAAAAACCCACATCATTTTTTTATCAGATGTGTTGTTAACAAGGCATATTTTGACACAATTGAAAAACTGCCCATATTTTTATGATAGATAGGAAGGAAAGGAAGAGAGTCGATGCGCGAGATAGAGCCG